GTTTGCCCGGTTTTTTCCCCCCCCCCCTAAAAGGGGTTTTTTGGGGGGTTTTAAATTTGGGGTGTCCCCGGGGGAAACCTTCCCCTCCCCCCCCCCGTTGTTCCCAAAAATCCCTTTTTCCCGTTCCTGATTTTCCCCCCGTTGGTCCCCCCCCCCCCCCCCCCCTTCCCGGAATTCGCCCCCCCCCCCCCCGAAGGAGGAGGAGTCGTCGAGCCCCGCCGTGATGTCACCGGCGGCGATGTCGTCCGCCCCGTCCGCGATCTCCGCCGTGTCCGCCTCGGAGATGTTGCCGTCCTTGTCCTGGTTCGTGGCAGCCACGGGGAGGGTCAGCGTTAGGGTGAGGGTAAAGGTTGGGGTTGGGATAGAATATTCAACAAAGAATCTGAGTGTATACTACGGCCGGGTTTTGATGACTCGTCTCTCTAGACATTGATTCGGGTTGGGGTTAGGGTCGGGGTTGGCTAGGGGGAAGTATTGATCGGTATATTCTTTGTTGATTACCAAACTTGACGTGTTACTACGCCCGGGTTTGATGACTCGTACCTCCAAGCATGAACAGTTCTATTTAGTTGGGCGCGGGGGGCGGGCTGGTTATTGCAGCCTTCTGTGCGTGCGGCCGGGTTTTGAGAGCTCGTCTCTCGAACTGCGAGCAGTGCAAGTCCGGGGGGTGCACGAATGATCGCGGATGCAGAGAAAGGCTTCGGCCAGGAGGGCCGAGGTCGCTGGAAACAGAGTACCTGTGACACTACCGCTGTACCATCGTCACAGTGCCACCAAGAAGCCAAGAAGACACAATGGATGAGGCACACACAGCCTCCCTACCAAAACACGCCTCCGCCGCTTCCTGCTGCTGCACCATCGCCACTACCACGAAGAAGCCAAGAAGACACAACGGACGAGATACACAACCTCCCTACCAAAACGCACCTCCGCCGCTTCCTCGTCGAAGAGATGCTTGGAAGATCCCTTCCCTCTTCTCCCCGCTTGCCTGTCCGCCGGCTCTTCGCCAGCATCCTTAAGGTACTGAGGGGGACAAATTGACAAGAAGGGGGGGGGGGGCGGGACTCGTGAGTGTTCGAGACCGCGGCGTCTGTTGCTATTCCTCTAGTACACCGCACCGACCTCCAGGCGTGAAAAACGGGGACTCGGGAGCAATGCCTCCCCTTTCCAATCTGCCTTGCTCCGCTCCGAGAGTATACTGGTGTGGTTGATTCCGCTCTGCTCTCTTTCTCGACCATTTTTTTCCATCGACGAAAAACCCGTTACAATACCACATCGAACTGACGACAAAAAACGAAAAGCGAAGGATGAACAAGCACCTCCGTGGCGCTGTTGCCACAGCTCTTCTCGGTAGGCTTGGCGGCTGCCGTTACGGGGTCGTAGCTGAGGGTGCAAACGCCTCCGCCGATCGACAACGCCGCCACGGTCGACTTGTCCAGCCACTGCAGAGAACCAAGACATCGACCAGCGCAGAGACGTTGTGTGGTGGTGGTTGGGGAGGTTGACGGGTGGTGAGCCCCGAAAAATGCCATCAGAGGTAATGTGAAGTGTGCATGTTCCCCGTAGTGTGCCTTTTAAGCCTGGACGTTGAGGCACTTCGGGGGTTCCGCACATCACACAGGAGGGGGGGGGTGTAGTGCACAGCGAGGGTTCACTAACAGAGAGAAAAAGACACGGACGACGGCGATGGAAGTCCACTAAGACACAAGCGAGGTTCCTCTAGACAGGAGGAGTTCAACGGGGAGTGAGAGGCGGACGCGGGGATGGGGGAGGCAAAGCGAGACGCTGCTGTCGGCGAGCGAAGCAAAAGCGAAGCGAGTACAGGGCAGACACGTAGGAACAGGGGACGACCAACACGATCGAAACAACACAGACATAAAGACTGTGGTAGAAAAACACCGATGTCGAACGAAACAACGCAGACATTAAAGGAAAAATTAAACAACGCGGTGGAGAGACATCTCTCGAGAAGGAGAGAGAGCAACAACGGCAACGGCGACAGCAGCAACGACATCAACAGAAGCCACAACAGAATTCTTGTCGACCCAACAACCGCAAGACGAAGAACAATACCAACATCGATAGCAGAGAACGCCCCCGCGCCTTGGGCCCCACCCACCTTAAGGTGTCGCCAGTTCTCCTGGTCGGTGTTGACGAAGGTCTTCACGGCAAGCTTGTCCTCCACGTTCCACACCACCACGCGACTGGATAACATCCGATCAAGGGTTGGGATTTAGACGGAAAAACAGACTTAAAAAAAGCGGCGGCGGTGGAGACAATTCGGGGCTGTCTGTCTCAATTGGTTGCAGATGCGTTTGAAGTCGCTCAGGATTATCTCCGGCCGCGTGTTGTGGCTGACGCGCTCTAAGCCCTCGAGAACCAACACACCCTCTGCCTCCTGGTAGGCAGAGCTCTGCCGCCATGGCAGGAAGAGCGCCAACAGCAGTGGCACCACACACTTTCCCCTTGCTGCAGAACGGGCGCCTGAAACGTGTTCCTGAAACCCGCTTACAACCAACCGTTCGCGCGACTACACCAGAGACAACAACACAGGAATACCTGTCGTCAATCCCGACGACACGGAAACACAATAGTCACAAAAAACCACCTCGACGTGTTAACAAAAAAGGCGGTACAACTACGCAGTTGTTCTCGGTATTCGGACTTTTGCCCCGAACAGGAACAAAAAAACACCCCGACGGATAACCAAAAAGAGCGGCACAACTGCCGGCCGTTTTCCGTTTTCCCTTACCCGTCGAGGGCGGCGGTGGCGAGGTGCTGCCCGCCGTCCGGGCTGAAGGCGGCGATGGTGATCTCCTTGGTGTGCCCCCCGTCTTCGGCGTTCTCGGGGACGATGATCGACCTGCCCGTCGTTCGCGTCCGTTTGGGTGCGGTTGGTCGTTGGTTGATGTTGTTGGTTGTGCTGTTGTTGTTGTTGTTGTTTGTTGTTTGTTGTTGTCATTGTTTTTTTGGTGTTGGTAGTGGTGTCGGAGTTGCGACTGCTGGTGGTGTTCTCGTTGGTGGTGTCGTTGCCGGTGTTGCTAATGCTGGTGTTGTGCTACCGCTCATCATCAAGCCGGTCGTCCCCCAAACAGGAAACTACAGATTGATTCTCAGACTGCTCCATCCCACCAGTCCTGCACGAAAACACCAGTGGCATCCAAGAAGAAAAAGTAGAAACACCTGCTTCTGTTCGAAACCAAGCTCGAGGGCAATGCTCACCGTTTCCACGAGTCTCGCATGAGCATCAGGGGGTCCGCGGCGCCCGTGACGCTCAAGCTCTTCCCCTGCACAAATGAATGCCATTCCAGGCCAAAAAACAAAGAAAATCCAGAACAGGAAAATTAAACACGGACGATCCAATATCGAATTAGGGTTGTTGCTGGTGTTGGTCTTCACATTAAAAACCTTTCCGGTTCTAATTAACTAAAGCAACGCCTGCCGTGGGTGAAACGGGTCATTGTGCATGGGGACATATCTCGGAAATCCAGCAAGCACACCTCTCGGGAAATACCACGCAACCAACCCCGCAATCACAACAACAATATCAGCAGCAACAACAACAACATCATCATCATCATCATCATCAACAACAACAACCACAACAATAGCAGCACCAACAACAACAACATGATCTTCTCAGATGAGCCTCGCTCACGTCTGGGTGCCAAGCGACCTTGCCGAGGTGCTCGAACTCCGCCGATCCCCCGATCGCCTCCTTGACGAAGTAGCTCTCCGACATAACCACCTCCGTGCTCAGATCATCCAGGGACGGGTCGACTCTCCACACCTTCACAGTCCCGTCGAAGCCTGCCGAGCCCATTGCCACGGGCGGAGAGAAAAAATGAAAAAACACACACACATATATGCTTACCATCGTGTGTAGGGGGGTACGAAGGACGGGATTAGACGAGACGGGGGTGGTGGATGTTCTAAGCATGTGTGTATCCCGCGAGTACACCCTCCTCGACTTCCGTTCCTCCGTCGACTGCTATGTCGCCCATGGTACCGTTGAAGTTGGTAGGTGTTGTTGCCTTTGACCATAAGAACCGCCTAGCTCTGCCTAGTCTGACGCGTACGGCCTTCCGTGGTCATAGGCAAACTACCGGACGTTATGTTGTACGTGTAGTGTGAATCGAACGGACGCGGAGAGAAATACGCCAGAGAGAAGCCCGGCAAAGAACGGTAGACGTCGCATGTTGCGCGACCAATGGTGTAGTGCAAAACAGAAAAAAAACTTCGAAGTACTTGTACTTGCGTGGGGACAACAGCAAAGGGCAACAGAAAACAACGCCAGTAGATTAGTACCCGAGGCAGCAAGGAAGTCCCCCCGAGGGTCCCAGTCGACGCTTTTCACGCCCCCGCTCATGTCGGTGAGGGTAAGAACCTTGCTGTTGTTGCTCCTCCTGACAACTCGGATGCCCGGCTCCTCGCTGCACGCGGCACTGCAGAGTAGTAGGGGGTAGGGGGGGGCATTGGAGGCTCGGGTAGGTGGGTGAAAGGGTCATGAAAGCAGTCGTCAGCAAGCAAGGCCGTGTACCACACACAATGCACGACAACGGCTCGACACAGACAGGGAGAAGGCTCACATCACGTCCCCGTCCTTCATGCCGTAGGCCAGGCCGAGCACCGGGGCCGTGAACCTCGTGAGCATCGACTTGAAGTCCAGCTTTGGAAGCCCGTGCAGCTTGACGTCCCCGTTCCTGAGGCCCACAGCCAGCTCGTCGCCGGCAGGGCTGACGGCCACGGCGGTGACCGCGAGGCCCTCGTCCCCCTCGTCATTGACGTCGAGGTTGAGCTCTGCGACGGCGTCCTGGATGCTCGAGCTCTTCGGGTCGAACACCTGTTGGTTGTGGTTATTCTTGTTGTGTGAATCAATATCTTAGGTGTGCTGAGCTACATTACGGTGTGTACGGCGAGCGAGGATGGCTGACGATCTTTCAAATTGAGCATGAGCTTTCGAAACAGGTCCAGAATCCATTGCGATGAACGCGAGTATCGCAAGGAGGCCAGTCCCCCCCCCCACACGCATGAGTGCACCGACGTCTTTTTCGATGGGTCAGCAGTCGGCAAGCGCGGTCGATCCCAATCACATCAGTGCCTCACATGTGGTTACATGGATTCGGAGAGGTTACCCTGTAGGCAACAGGTGTCAGCTCAAGTTGTCAGCGCACTGACTACGTCGGTCCAAGGGAAAGACCCTCTGACCTAAGGAAATAAAGGCTTTTGGGGATTGATTCTGTTTCCATGGGTCTAGGCTCACCTCCCATACGCAGGGGTTCAACAAAAAAAATAAGAATATTTTCGCGCGAAGCGCGAAAAGAAGGAGCGGAGAGAGACATCAAAGCAAGCGAAGATAGATATGGATGCAGCCTATGCCACCGCAGAGGTCACAAGTGCACACGTTCACACCTCGCCCGACACCACCAGTCAGTCAGTAGATGACTGAGAGCGCTGTTTAGCTCTGATAATCATCAGCCACATGTAGCTGCAGCAGCAGCTGCTGCTGCTGTTGCTGCTGCCGTGCAGGATGGGTGTGCTCTTGCTTTCCTCGCTTTCGCTGCTAACAGCGGGCAACGGGCTCTAAAAATCGCCCCCGATGCCTCCTACGATGTGTATATTTGGCCACAGCGTTGCGTGCGTCTCACTTGTCTCTGTTTCGGGGGTGCTTCTGTGGTGGAAGCAAAGATCGGCCTGCAGACGAAGACAGACCGCAGACAAATTTGACTTGTGTGCACTCGCATGCTCCCTCGCTTACGCTGCTAGCAGCAGGCCTCTGGGTCTCAAAATAGCTTCCAACGCCAGCCATGATGTTTGCCTTTGGCCGGCCTTGGCCTACAGCAGTGTGTCCGTCTCGTTGTGTCTGTTGTGGGGATGCGTCTGTGTGGGAAGCCCCAAAGACCGGTAGGGTGAGTATGATGCAGGCAGACCGTATGTTTGACATCTGCGTCGTCACTCGCTTGTGCTGCCGACAGCAGGCAACGGGCTGTAAAAGTCACACCCAACGCCTCCTATGATGTATGCCTTGGCTGCCTTTGGCCTACAGCAGTCCGTATCCTGCTGTGCTGGTTGTCTCGTCTGTTGTCTTCGTGGTGTGTGTGGTGCTGCTGTGCAAGAGGATTTCGGGAATTCTCCCGAGAGCGTCCTGCCCATTGCCCAATCATCTGTCTTACAAAATCGACGGGTGATTGGTGGGAGATGGGTATCTGCCCGGCTCTACCCCTCAAAAACATAGATGATTGTTGGAAGTTCTTCCATGTCTTACAAAAAGATTCCCCTGTGTATGGGTGCTCTGCCCTTGCCCTTCTAACCTCTAACGTAAACGCACGGGTAAGGTCCGGAGAAACGCCTCCAGCCCAGAAGGTGGGCGTTGTTTTTTTCAGTTTTTTTTTTGAAAATTGCACGAAAGAGGGTCGGCAGGGATTCGTTTTGCAACCGATCAAGAGAGCAGCATGGGGGGGTATTACGGGGAACAATGCACTACCCAGTTTATCAAGTCACCGTGACGTCCTCGAAAGTGACGCTGCTCAGCCAAATCTGCAAGGAAGCAGCATGCCACACACGCCTTACTGCGCGACGCTGGGGGCACTCTGGTGCTCCTTGGGGTGTTTGAGATTTCAAAAATTGCCTCGTGCATGGTTGCCAACTGAGATAGGGAAGGAGAATCGTAAACCGCTTCACCACCACCAGGCTTTGCTCCTACCTTGACCATGCCTTCCGCCCCACCGGCGAATATCCTCAAGCCATCGCTTGTCGTGGCTGCATCCATGTCGCACATGCCAGGCCCACAAGCAAACCATGCCTTCACTCCCTCGGGCTCCGACATACTAATGCGTAGACTTCCTGCCCCTCTCTGTCTTTCGCTGGCGACGAGAGAGCAGTATCACCACTTCTGTGGCAGAGATTATGGTGTACGTGACACGGCGTGCAGCGTAGGTGTCGTGACTTTGCTTTGCCAGCGTAGCCCAAGATGGAACAGGGAGAGAGAGAAACAGATGTGTGCGTAATCAGCGCGCTGCAGCGCGGGAGTTTTTTTTGAAAATATGCGGCGCAATTAACGTCCGGTGCGGGAACATCTGATTGGTCAAGACCTCTCAGCCTGTCAGCGAGAAAAAGAAGGGCACGAGCAAGCACGAGCACCAGGGGCTGCCCACATGTATACACACTAAGCGTGCGATCGCCGGGCCTAATCTCATGGTAGCCACGAGAGAGAGGGCGCGCCCATCGGGTCCTCGGTCAAGGGTGACTGCAGGCTCAGCCTCCAGCAGTGACGGGGAGGGATCTTCAGCAACCACTTGGAACAGCGACACGACCTCAGAGCGAGGTAACAATGCATCTCTATCGACTGCTTGTGCCTACGAGAGAAGGCTTCGAAACTTCTACTGGTGTACTTGGCGCCATCTCCTTGCTGATCGAAAGCCTTAGTATACACCTCGTGTTCAACTTTTTGTCGGCCGTCCGGTTTTTCAAATATCACCGGACTCGTTTTGTGCAGCAGTGCGCCGAGAAGCCACCCGACCCGCTTTTGTGCACCCCAAGGCACCGACGCCCAGGGGTACACCAAGGCACGTGTTGACTGCTGTCGTGCGACTGTTCGGCTAATTTATTTCGTTGTATTGGACGTCCCGGCCGGCGTTTCGTGTTGCCCTGGCGAGGAGTGGGCGAGGTAGTTTGGCACCATCCTCCTTCTATATATCTCTGCTGGAACAGTACTTTGTCGATGCTTGCCTGCAGTACAGCAGTGTGTACATTTATCTACAGCTACAAAACCAGCTGCTCCGCTGTCTCTGTCATTTGCTCTTGCCAAATGAAGGAGCGTGGGTCAGAATTGACACATACCCAAATCGCACCACGACAGGATCACACTTGCAGCTGACTTGTCTATGTAGAGGGGCTGCATGTAGTAGACGGGGTCAGCATGGAGGGCACCTCACACCTCACGCCCCAGTTATGCCGCCGATGGTACAACCAACATCGTGACAGTTTTTTTTCGCGCAATGTTCCAAGATAAAATATTTACTACGCTGTAGTGCGGAAAGAGCGGAGTAACAGCCGTGACGGAATCGTCGTGTGTACGTATGTGCGTATCGTATGTATGCGTGCTTTCGTTCGTGCTTAGTTTTATCTGGTTTTCCTCAGTGCCTCGTGCATGGACAGGCCTCTCTCTTGTTTGATGCCTCCAGTTCTTCCACACCCTGACTCTCGCTGAGGAAAAATCATCCTCGAAGAATCTGGCCTGGTGTCATGGTCTGTACAGTACTCCGTACCACGCTGAGGGTGTGCGCCAACGCGCCAACACAAACGTTCGGGACACGAATGCATAGCCCCCACCGGGGAACTTTCCAAAAAAAGTTTCCACGAATCACCGAAACAAGCATCAACCATTCGATGAGCGTTGGCGGCCTTCGGGCGTTCGGATTCGACAATCCTGCAACGCGTACAGCACAGAATTCTTATTTTTACTCGACTTTGTATGTGTTAATTCCACTCTGTGTCTCTCCCTCTGCTTCCGACGCATTCGCAAGCAACAGGCGGCCTAGATAGCAGTAGCAGCCTTAAGGGCGGCGGCGGCGACAGCAGCGACGGCAGCAGCATCGGACCGAAAAGCGTGGTGATGACCCGCAAGAGGCGATTGCTGCAGGAGACGGAAGCGAGGATTGCGGTCGGGGTTGTCCCGTACTGGGAAGGCGGTGTCGACCTGGGAGGGGATATCGACCAAGAAAAGAAAGGGACACCGAGGCGATCTCGCCGAGGTGCGTCGTTTTTTCTTTTTTTTTTTTTTCTGGCGATTTTTGCTTCCAGCACCCGTTTGTTGGTCGCCGCTAGTTTAGTCTGGTGCTTCTTGTTGGCCACGCTCGTGGTGGACCCGGCTCGTGGTGAGAAAACAAGAAATGCTCTGCGGAATGTATGAAAGAGGGAGGGGAGGTGGAGAGAGAGAGAGAGAGAGAGAGAGAGAGAGAGAGAGAGAGAGAGAGAGAGAGAATCGCGGCTTTGTTCTTTTGCGTTGGCCGAATTAGCGCAGAGCTCATCCCGCCACTATCCGTGCCCAAGAAGACTTGCTGAAGCTCGCATGTCTCTTCCGCAGCAGGCTGTCAGTCTCATTGCAATACCATGTTTCGCGTAACCTCTTCCTAGGCCATTGATTGTTCACAGAACATCTTGTCCTCTTTCTGCACGACCCGTCCTTTTCCGTAGGCAAGGCACGCCGCAAGCAGCAAGACCCGGCGCCTATCGAGCAACCGAAAATGGGCGTCAATCTCCCGCCAATGGTCAGCACGAGAGAGGGGAAGCTTCTGAGCGTCGAGGTGCATGCACGATAATATCCGCAGACGCATTCGCCCTGGGTGCTTGTATGACGTTTTCGATTTCGTTGTTCGGCAGCAGCGTTGGTAACATGCTGTCATTTTTCTCGTTTGGTCTCTCGTCGTTGAACAGCGTATGCGCTCTCTGTATTTTTGTACTTCGAAGTAGTAGAGTAGAGTTGATAGCGTGTGACAACGATGGGGGTAGCACCGGAGATACGTTGGCGGATCAGCCCCCCCCCTCGATCCGCTGTCGCGGTCTTGCACAGGGGCAGGTAGAGCATTGCGCCATGTTTCGAGACGTTCTCGAGACTCGATTATCAACGCTATGATGAACCCGATGCGCTCGCTGCTGTTGTGCAGCACCAGTGGTAGCAATGCTCTCACGACACCTAGGCCCAGAGGAGTTAGGCCTCCAACTCCCGTCCTTGGCTTCTGCTGTTGAGGCAGTCCTCATCGGAACTTCGTGCTGTCTCGCAAGGAGGACCGGCTTTCGATTTCCCTGCGGAAATAATATATTGTGGAATGCCCAACAGACTGAACTTCCAAAATGAGTGAAAATTTTGCATACTGGGAATTTTCCCCTTCCCCGCCCCCCCCGGTGTTTGCCATCGGGGTTTGGGTTTTCGTCGCTTGGCAACGACGTTGTAAAACAAGCCCCCCACTCGGTGTTTGCCATCGGGATTGGGTTTTCGTCGCTTGGCAACGACGTTGTAAAACAAGCCAACTCACTTCGTGAACTCGGCAACCAGGTTACCGTTTTTTTTTTTTTTTACCTCGTTTTTTTTTTTTTGGCGGTAACCATAATGGTGGTCGAGTAGATTATGTTGTGCGGGGTCGAGAACCCTTACTCCGCCCAACGGGGGATGATCGCACCACGTTGTGTTAAAATGGTCAAGCTTCCTCGAGGCAGTTACACAGTGCTTACAACTGTCTCTGGAAGTGAAAGCACCAGAAAATAAATTAAGTCATACGTAGCTGTCATCCGTACGCAAGGAAGTAAGCACAAGATGCCGAACACCCTTAGCAGGATGCAGCTCACCCTTCATGCGACTCGCCAAATACCTCACGGCGCTTCGCGCTTGGTGATGTGAGAGCCTGGTCCGGTGAGAACCCGGCGTGCTCCGTCCCGGCTTTGTAGGGATGCGAGGTCAATGGTCAAACGACTACGGCATGCACGACTATGAGTACACCCCCCCCCCCCCCCCCTACCCCCACGGCGTGCGAAGGTGTTCGGTATCGGTGTTTTGGACCACCTGCGACGGGAAGACAGGGGTGCGCGCGTGGGGCACTGCTCCAGCGGCTACGTGTGCGGGTGAGGACCCTGGATCTGCTCGTGAAACGTGCTGTAGGGATGAAGTCCATGTTCACATGTCGTGTCTCTCAAGGGTTCCATATGATACACAAACTTCCATACGGAAGGAGGGCTGCAAACTCCATACATTAAGGCCTCTTTCAAATGGCGGATACGGTCAGCAAGCAGTCGCACAATTTTCGCGCTTGTTTTACTCGTCGTTGCCCATGCACGGTTCCGTTAGCCGATTCGCTCTTTTGCTCGCGTCCGCCTGACCCGGCTCTGTTTTGGCCTCATCTCAACAACACTCTCGGCTACACGCTCAACCCCTTCTTCCGTCTCTTTTAGGAGCCCCGTTCCGCGAGGCAAGGAGGGCAACCGGTGGTGCCAGACGCCGGTGCGGGGGTCGCTAGAGAGCAGGATGGCGTGCATGCACCACTCGCACCGCCGGAGGGCGGGAGGCACGGGCCCGTCCAAGGAGCAGTTGCGGTACATGATGCTTGCAGGTGACTCGAGCAGAGGACCCTGATACTCTGGTGGAGATCCCGCGGGCGGTACTACTTTGCATCACTGGCTCGAGTTGAACCGGATTTCTGCTATTCTTGTGTATGAACCCAATTCCGAGCGCATTTCTGAATCGTGAAGTTGGTCCCTTCTCCATGAAATGTGGAAATCGTCTCGTTGCTAGAGTAGGGACGATGCTCCATTGCACGAAGACGAGAGGCCTCTGTCTCACCAGCAAAACAAGCAACAAATGAGCACTCCCGGTTTGCTCTCAACGTTCCGTCGTCGCCGCCGCCGCTCCGACCGATCCATGGGATGCTGCCACGAACGCAATATCCATGTACCGATGGGTGTCAGACGATTTTTACGACCGGCAGTCGGGGGACATCTGCTGGCAGCGTGTCGTGTCCTACCTCAGGGCGCGGAAGTGTCCTCGCGAGTTAGCCCAGCGCCGGCAGGTGCGTTGCTTTCGTCGCGTGGGTATCGGCGAGGCCTCTCGCAGTACCACAGCTACAGCAGCATTGATGACGGGGGCTTCTCTTTCTTCGTGCTTCGGCTCCCCCGCGGCGCAAGAGCGGTGTTCATGATACGTTTGCGCAACACGGAAGAGCGTGCAACGAGTGAAGGAGGCCGCACGGGGACGATTCCCCTACTCCCCACACCCAGAAACTTACCTGAGAGCCCCACCCTACAAAACCGCCGTCGCTGGTACTACGCACGGGTGCTTAGATCGCCGATTTTCCATGCGTGCCGGTTTCCCCCACCGGCCTGGTGAATGGTCCCCTGAAGAGGTTGATATGATGGGCAGAAAGGACTAACGCAAGCTGTTTTGGATAGGAGGGTGCTGAAGTGGGATTTGGTGGCGTTTTTCTCGGCATTCTTTAGCCGTAGATCCATCATGATATACCTACAAAAGCGGCTGCGCTACAATATGTAGCGCTGCGTTATGGTGAGCGAGCTCATGATTTCGAGGCTTGAAGCAATATCCTAAAGAAATAATGGTGCCGCAGAGTGTCGAGATCGATGAACTTCTGGACACCTCTCCCCCTTCGAGTTGCGTCCTGCCGTCACTCTACCCCGAATCCTTGGATCGATGAACACGAACCACGCCGTCCCGAAACATCCATGATATTGACGTATCCGTCGAAAATGGTGCAACAGGTGCTGACCGCGGGCGGCCGTGCCGTGGCGGTCGCCGACACCAAGATAGTCCTCCACGGGTTCGTGCAGTGCCTCTTCTTCTGGCTGGCAGCTTGCCGCCTGACGCGCCGCGGGTGAGTGCTACCCCCCCGGCAAGAGCTGCTCGTTTTTGCGCTCGGCCTTGTTGCTTCCTACCACGTTGTAGACATATTGCCCCCCCCCGCGAGCGCACTAACCTGTAGGCAATGTCAGTGCATCCCAAAGGGGGCTGGCGTACATCACACCGGCGTGATTACCATTGCTGTGGAGATCCCCCCCCCCCCCTGCGAGGTCTATGGTCTACCGACTACGGCGTGCGTTTACATGAGTACAACTCCATTTTGATGTGCACCCCGACTCTTATCCACCGTCCTCGCAGGTATGAGTTCACGATGGTGGCCCACGCATCCAAGAGCGACTTCAAGGAGTTCCTCTCGCGGCTCCGAAGGAAGGCCGCCTGGCCACCACCCTCCCCGGCGTCCTCGCCCTTTGTGTGCATGGACGACAAGAGGTCCGGGAAGCGGCAGCGGCAGATGCAGCACCCCTCCTACTACGCCAGCGGATATGACCAGGTCTGCGGGATGTTCTGACAGACGTCCTGCTGCTGTGCACTGCGTGCACGGCTTCGGACTCCTCGCAATAGAGGCAGCCCGATCTTCGCAATAGAAGCCCGATCTTCGATAAAGACGCCCGATGTCTCGGGTTTGAGCGATCGTGATCGCTGAGAGTGCACGAAGCGTTCTGCGTTTACCTGCGAATCACACCACTTGTACCCGCGTGGACGAAAATAACCATGGAGGGAAACCCGGATAAGTCAACGATATCCACCGAACGTGGCGCCTAAAACAGCGAATTTGAATGTTTTTTTTTAGTATCATGTTCGACGATTTATTGATGCGAGTGGTTGTTGTCATGGCTGATGCCGGCCAGTCGAAGGACTCTAGGCCAATAGGCGCTCTTCCGCTAGGCTTATCAGCCCCAAGACAATCGTCGTGTGCTTCTACTTGGACCTCGTTCCGACGGGCCACAGAAAAATTGGTGGAGGTCTCGGAAGGGGGAGGGGGGCATACGTAGGGGTGGTGGGAGTCGATTCGAGCGGTAGGTGATACTGGTGTTTCGGGAAAATCATTAAGAACATTTAAGAAGCGACGGCGGCAGATGTGTGTGGACAGTGGACCGCAAAGCGGCGAGGTTTATGTAACCTGACCTGTTTTCTCCCCTGCTAGACGCGAAGTTTGTTTCCAGCACCCGATGTGAGGAACGAAGGATGACAGTATTTTGGGGGGGCTCCGCTGAGTCGCATGAAGTGGTGGTAGAGGTCGCCATCGCAGCGGGCCTCCCGAACAGGAACACCTACGCCTGCTTGCACAGGTAGAAGTGGTGCGGACCGTGACAGGGCAGTGGCGGCCAAAATTTAAGGAGCTCGAGCACAAATTGAGCGAATACAATCAAAACTTAGGTCGGCGGCGTGTGATGTTGGTGCACGCGGCTGCACTGAAGCAGCAGCAGTCTCTTGTTGGTATGATCTGCAGTGATCGCCATCCTTGCAGCACGGCAGCAATGTATTATTCAATCGAACCGCGACTTGTTGAGCGGTGTCGGGGAGGCGTCGCTGGTCCTTGAAGGCGGCTTTGTCGAGAAAGCACGTTGAGAACCACGTCCGGGCGATGTAGAGTTGGGTCTTCCTCGCATCAAGGGTCGAGCGTCGATTGGGCGGTGTCGTCGCCACTGGATAGAAGTTGATGCCGGGCCGCGAGCCAACGCCACCACGTACCACATGTGTTTTTCGTTCGACGGTTTCACATCTTGAGTATTTAGGGATGCAGACTTTGTGACACATGCGCGACGACAGTCTGCATGTAGGTCTAGATGTGCTGAGGTGACAATACTGGGAGGTCGGCAGATTTGATCTCTCGGGGGTGGTCGGTAATAGTTTACTTCGCAAAAGGAGAGGCTGGCGGGAGACGAGGACCCAACACGGCCTTCTGTTGTGTTTCGGTGTGCGATAGGGCGACCTGGGCCATTTAGCCTTGAATGGACAGTCCAAGATGTCTGTCTTGAGCACAAGACTTGGTGTACCGTGTTAACTAGTGGATGGATATCATACGGTGGTTGACGTACTCGATGGTGGTGTGCGTATCGCAAGTGAGGTTTACCATGATTGGGACGCCTCTCCAACCAGCTGAAGAAGTTCGACAGTTATCATTCGGGCATCTTATGATTCATGCATGCAACAGTTGATAATTTCGTACAGAACGGCATGGCGCAGAAGAAGGTGATGCGCAGCAATACACGCAAGACAGTACCACATCTTGGAGGGTATCAGCATGATGGTGTCACCAAATTCGTTTGGAATACAAACCTCACGGCAAAAGCTATTGAGTTGGGTAGACAAAAGCCAGCCGTTTGCTCACCCCGAGGCTCAATCCGAAGGGGTATCTTTCGTCACACTTGCACGAGCAAAGTTGGTTCACGACTGCAACTGACACGTCATTGCTCGTTGCGGCCGAGAAAAAATGGAACCGAATGTGTTGTAGTTGAAAGGCCTCTTTGTGTCCCGTAGTGGCGGGATCAACCCTTCCTTGTTGTGTGAGTCGGCGTTTCTCTAAACGATATTGGCGAAGAGGTTGAACTAGCAACTAGGCCATTTTTTGGTGTAAGTACACAACGAGCTGACAGTAAGCGGACTTTGCGGAAGGCTGTCAGCCGCAGATTGTTGGCTGCTGTTGTGTTTGTGGTGGTAGAGGCCACCGCTCATCCTGTCGATACGCAAGGCCGAGAAAATGAAACAAACCAACATAAGCACAACGCCTATCAAGAATATCTAGTGTTCTCGCATGATTCCGTCCTTCCTTCCGGTGTATTTCACCTCAGGATTTTGCAACGGTTATCGTGCACTTTCCTCCCCAGGTGGGGAGGCAAAGTTCAAGGCACTGGCGATACCTATTTCCTTGCGTCATTCTTTAACAAAGCAACACTGCATACTGGTACATGGATTATCGTCCACGCACACATGGATATATTTGTGCTTCGTTCATCGGAATACTCCACGTTAGGTCAGGTCCTGGCCACACTACAGAGAGAGGTGCATAAAGAGCTGAACGCGCTGCTTCTTCTCATGCGGGCTCAGAAAATAGCTACCGGAAAGACGCACCAGACGTCATCGAAGCCGCGGCGGGAATGCGGCCACGAAGAGGTGGTAGCCAAGATGTGATGAAGCGGAAACGTCTTCCAGGGAGATCACGGAGCGAACTTCTGACGCGACGTTAGCGGGAGGCGCACCACGGAGCATTATGGAGGGCCAAATGCCATCCGTGGTGCGTTGGGTGACCGGCCGAAAATCGGCAATGAGGCCCGGCTTGATGGACTCCTCCACCGTCAGCGCCATATCCAAAGGGAGATGCACGAGGCTTCCCGGGCTTGACACTCGACCACTTAACGATACACCCGCGATTAACTAGGGACAGGATCGGTGTCGACGAAACTGGTGACCGCTGGGAGGCTGTGTGGTTGCTAGTGGAACCGTCCCCGGAATCAGGTTGACCTTGTGCGAAAGGAAAGTCGGGCGATGTCCCACCGCACTCGTCAAAGATCAAGTCGTACAGATCGATGACCTGATGCCATCTTGCGGATGATCCTGAAGGGTGATGTTTCTGCCAGAAGCGACTGTTTTTCGCGGAAACACCTGCATGAGTGTACCCCCGCCGACACCGACACCCCATTCTAGAGAGTGCCGCGGAAATAGACACCAAAGACTAGACGTTGCGCTCAATTGTCCCGGGTGGGACCCTGATGTCGGCGAATCGGACTACCAGCCCCGTCATACTTTTCGATTCACCAAGTCGTATGTTACACACCGAACCTTCAATCGACCATGTGCCTGTTGTACCTGGTGATTCGCCACCCGCAACATAAAGCATCTTCGGGCTATAGCACATCGGGCATTGATTGGCAGTCAAAGTCTCGTACAGGATTTGCATGGCCTTTGGCAACATATATCTTGTCCTCAAATTCTACAAAAACGTTTCGTTCGGGGTAGGATTGACATTGTTCAACATGCGCCGCCGCGAAATCCCTTTCTCGTCGCTTGAGCACCCATCCCCGTAATGTCAAAGAGATTAATTTAACCTTCAACGCTCTCATTCCGAAAATGGGTCGGTTCAATTGGCGTTAGTGGTCACTTACATTGACAATGGTTCCTCGGTTGGGCGGCGGGGGGGTGGGGGGGTGCGCACTCTTATGCTTCGCATGCCTTAGCGGTTAGACCATTGACCACGCATCCTCGAGAGGACGGAGCATTGTTCCCACAGAACCGATCACCGATGGCCAACCGTTCCTTCCTACTTTGCCAAAGGTGGCTCAAAAGTGTCTTCCCTAGTCCATCTATCTTTCCGATATCACTTCCCGCCTTTTCAACCACTTCCTATGCCCCAGTACAGCTACCATCTTCTCCCGGCTATGCCATGCCTCAAACATCTCCCTGTATCTTTCTTCTGCTTTTCCCAGCTCAGTCATGTACACTTCTCGCTCCTTCTTGTACAACCGACATTCCGCAACGACATGAACACGATCTCCGCACTGGGAGGCGCAATCACATTTGAATTTGTCGTCTTCATCGTCTACCTTCCGAAATCATCGTCTACGCTCTCGAAGACCAATGTCCCCGGTCCCGAATTTGACCTTCAGCTTTGTCCCTGCAACGGAGGGGACAGAAAAAAAATTCTCCTGTCGTACGAAACGTGTTATCTCCGAAAATCAGAAGATCTTCGTGAACAATCAGGGGATGCATATTTTTCGTCCCCTCCCGGGGATGGTTCTGAACATCCCCGGGACAATACATATAAATACCATGCAGTACAATTATTTGGCATGAGAATATCTAAAAATCCAACAAAGCGCGGGCTGCGCCCGTGGCTAAGGAGTGAAGTGGTCGCCACGCAGGTCGGAATTGAGGGTTCGAGCCCCCGTCGTGTCGAACAAAACACAAAAGCAACGAAAAAACGGGGTTCAAATCCGTCCGCGAGGTTTTCAAATTCCAATCGTGGAAGGCGCTACGAAGGCAGAGTGTGATGGAAACCACAACCACCCTATATTCTTAGTTGTTTATTCCAGAAACCAGAGCAAAATACTACCCTTTTACTTCTCACTTTCGCCTTTACTCTTAGATCTGTTGTTGGCGTTTGAAGAAAGCGCCCATGTGAGAGTACGCGGCGAATGCATCGCATGGAAAAAAGCAAATAGACATCTCCCGCCTTTTCTTGCGCCCCTTTGCTCCACCCTCGTGGCCCTCCGCGTCTCGGGTTCGTGTGGCTCTGTGTACGGCATGATTGGTTAGTTGGTGCCGTAGCACCAGAAGAAAGAATCAGAGGCGTGGGAGACCCTCACAGGCACCGCAACAATTGCCCGCTTCAGCAAGGCGCAGGTAAGAACAGCGCACGATAGTATACGGTGTGCCAGAGACATGCCGGGCGGCCACGAACATGCCACCGCCGCCACCGGCAAGAGCATCTAGGGACATCTGGCGCAGGCTGCACCATGCCTCAGGCGCGCCGAGTGTCGGAAGCGGTTCTTCCGCCGGTGGTAGGGGCAGCGGCAGCGGCAGAGGTGGAGGACCCAACGGCCCAAGGGTTCCTGATGACGAAGTCGACCGCGGCTAGTACGCTGGTTCTGCGCGGTCTTTAACGAGAATATGGCACAGAACCGCACGAAAACAGGGATATAGACAAAAAAAAAAAAAAATCGGTATGTAAGCAAACATTGTCGGACGGCACGTATAATGATTCCGAGAAGACGACGGTTTGGGGACAACAAAAACTCAACTACGCACGCGCACGCCTACGAAAAACAACAAAAAAGCGCAATCCACCACCTACTTGCGTCTGCGACGGCGTGGGAGACTCGGCCTTCACGGAATTCGGCGCGGTGATGCCCCGGGTGGTGGTTGGTGCAGTGATCAATGTCGTCCGCGGGGAACGAGCCCGGGAGCCCCGACAAGGACCTTGCCGAGCCGAACTCGGAGGCACAACGGGCGTACGAGGACTTCTTCGCCCTCATCCCTTGCTTTTCTTTCATGAGAACAACCATGGAGGCCGGAACAATGGCCCTGTGGTGAGGCGCCAGCATGCCCCTCGCGCGGATGAGGTACGTGCTGCAGTACTTGCTGTAGTCGTCGGAGCCGGAGCCCGGGGTCCCCGACACGGGGTTGGATGAGCCGAACGTGGAGGCACAGGGGTCAGATGATTGTATCCGTTGCATTTTTGCTTTTTATTCAATATGCCACAACAAACACCTTGTTTGCGAACAATGAATACACCACCGCTCAACCATCACTCCTTCTTGCTAGAACCTAGCTGTTTCAAAGAGTCACGGCCTGGTTGTTGACCCGCCTTGTACGCTAGGTTTTGATGGGTCGACGGGTATGTATGATGTGCGGTTGGACAGAGGAGGCTAAAAACGACACGTACACAAATACATAGTAGTTGGCGTAGATTTCGAGGGCGTGCGTGGAGCTGAGACGAATTTCTCACAGGTTTTGCAGAGAGAAATACTGTCGCATTCCGCGTTTCGTCCATCGTTTCTGAGAATCTGGCCTACCCTGGCAACGAACCGCGCTTAAGATTTTCTCACTTGTGCTAACGGCAATTTTGGGTCAGTCGATAGCGCGATTGATGCTAGAACAGGGCACACTACACACACGCACGCACCCGCAGAAGTTCAGGACTGCCTCAAGACACACGCAGGTACCGAGCAGCAGAGCCAGGATGCAGATGATGAACATCCCGATGGCGTTGGTCGAGGCCCCCGACGCGGGGGGGTTCACCAACAGTGGCACGTCCATGTTGCTGATGTGTGAGGAGGACGCGGCGACGAACTCCAGAGTGGAGAAAACCACCTGGTGTCATTGTGCAGTGGTCGCGGTCGCGTCCATTATGTCGAAGAACGATTCGCGTGCAGAATGTCAAGTATTTCAGATTCATTCATGCTTGTTTCGGTGTTGTTTGGATAATGGGGGTGATATTGGTGGTGGTGCATGCACGATGCAAAATAACTCGCCGGCAGTATGCCCCCCGAGTGCTCCATACCCTGCAAAACGAACCATGCATGCTCTCCTCATCAAAAACAAATGTACATCGCCTCTACGTACAGGCAGGCGGTACATGATAAAAAAACTCACCTCGTCCCCAGGAACGCCAAGGCTACTCGATACCTCCATGTAGTTTGCCTGGAAGTGGTTGATGGATTGGACCATCCCCTGGGTTGTGATTCCTGGCACCGTCACAACATACGGCACCTCGGCGGTGGTCAGACGCCTCCGTGAGAGGTACGCGCCCTGCGTGCGGCCCGTCCACGTACGTGTTGAGTGCGGCCCGAAAACGAACACACAAACGACAGCCGGAAACCAAACAGCAAGCAGCGCCCTGTTAGCAGACAACACACCGCCGAAAGTTGTGTACAGCAGTGCGCACACGGGTGTATACGCAGGATGGTACATTGTTTTTGAAGGGATGAAGGAAGGGAAAGCCTCCCCTGCAATACCTGCAACGGGTGCATGCAAGACATGGAAGAGGACATCTGCGGCACCAACACAATCAATTGCAATCGAGATCACCGCGCGAGAAGAAGTCAGCCCTCCGTCCAAAGATGGGACGGCGCTCCACCTGACATATCGGTCTACATCTAAGTCATTCCTTGGTTTATAATAGAAGCCCATGAATGGCTCGGAGGGTGGGGTTATTTTCCCGGGTCCTGTACCTTTACAAATGATAAAATGCATTCAGCACTATATTGCGTGATAATGCTGTATTTCTGCGTTCAGATTCATGCCGAATTGAGCCGAACCCCGACCTCGATCGCCATTTGACTTCTCATGGCGACGCACCTCTGAGGGGTGGACACTTGTGACGTTCCGCCGGTTCGCCAGCATGCTTCTCAGTGATCGTCTCCTGACTTCCGGACAGATGCATTGCACCTGTCCGTGTAATTCGTTGCGGGGTGCGCGCGTACGTGCGCACATGTTTCTTTGGATACGCACCCAACAACGACTTCAAATATGAACAAAATGTTCGTAGATGCCCCGCAAGAGAAAGCAGCTGGTGCCGGAAGCCACAACCCACGGCATATTTAACACCTGTTCTCCGCCTAGGCACAATAAGCCCAAAACCAAGAAAGTGTCCACGCCGCCCTCTGTCTCACACGATAGGGTTGGAGGTCGAAGGCCGCGGCAAGACCCTCCACGCACCCGACCTCGCACTGTGCCAGCGCGGTTTCGCTCACGATGATGAAGCCGCTCACGCTGGGCGCCTGCGCCGATGGCACGGGCGTGGCTTCGGGGACCGGGGTCGGCAGGGGCGCCGCCGTCGTAACGGGGGTTATCGGCGTCCGAGTGGGTACCAGCACCGGTGGCAATACTGGCGCCGGCGTCTTGAAAGTGTCGACCGGGTCCACCGGAGTATTCGCCGGTCGGGCAGTGGGCGGCGCGGCAATGGGCTGGGTCGTCGGTGCGCCTGGGTGGCGAAGGGCGGTGGGGGGGGGGGGGGGGGGGGGGTTATCCAAAACCGGGGCTGCCGAAACCGTTGGACCCTT